AGCATGAATCGTCAGGTGTTGATGCTACGACGAAGTACACCATATCGAGGGTGGATGTGCCTGGACGGGGAGAGTTGCCAATCATCAAGAGCTCATTCCCGTCGAAGCCATCTCTGTCAACCCGGGTTGACCGACTGTTCATCACTCTCAGGAGAAGTCGTATGATTTCAATCCTCTTCAAATGAGCAACGTCGGTCTGTCGTTCGCGTGAAGCTCTCGCGCGAGTCCGAGGGATTGCGCCTGCCCATGCCAAACATTGCGACTCGATCCTCCTCGCTGTGTTGGCGGGCGTTACTGCTTGGCACCACGTCCACGGGCACGAAAGGGGGCTGCTCCCGAGTGTACGGACGCGACAAGTACACCGGACAGTGCGTCGAACTGTCAGGTCGTACTCCTCCTGCCAATCCATAGGTACCTCACCTCAGTACTTGTACCTCGAAGCCTGCACAACTCTGCACTGCTCGCCATCGGCGCATTCGGATTCGTTATCACACGCTCACCACACCCAACGCACACACACTAACACGCACACGCGCACACACACAGGGACACCAGCTCACGCAGCATCAGATCCAATCTCGTTCCTGTGCCCGTCACCCGCCAATGGCAGCCGCCCGCTGGCCCAAGCGGTATGTACTTGCACCATTACAGGCAATTGCTGGATCCCTTGCAGCAAAAAAACGGCAGCGTGCCGCGTTAAACTACGATTCTGTTGGGGCGCCGCTCGACAGCCGCAGCCAATCGACTTTCACCAAATCCGCAGCCACGCCCGTCCCGCGTATCGAACACGAATACGAATAAGTGCTAGCTTTTCCCTTCCAAAGGTACATAGACTTTCCTTGTCTCGGCCCGCTTTTGGGCTGGCTCACTTCTCCGCTTGTGTGTTCTCCTGGGCCTTGCCTTTGCCTGGAAGTGGCTCGACACTTTTTTGAAGGATCGTCTGCGATTGCGGCCACTAGAATGAATCTCACGGCTATTGTATTGATATTGCACTGGACTATCGAACTTGCCTCTTATCCCACGCGCGTGCCTGCAATTCGCCCTTAAGCTCCGAACTGACTTGGCGCACAGCAGAACGCAATTCGAGCTCAGACCAGCCCAGCTCCGAGCCGTCCGGACGGTATCTTCAGCCACGCATCACGGACCAGTGCCAGAAGCCCAGGCAGCATACATGTACCCATTGGTTCCACCCTTCGTGACCAACTGTTTAGACCTAGCCTTACAGTTAAGCCTAAAAACCCTATTCCACCCTAAAAATCATTCTATACCGCTGCTAGTTTAATAACACACCTATTTTATATATAAACATAAATAATAATATATAATTATCTATCTTAAAATACTAAAAAATTAATAATAGATTTTATAAATAAACTCCCTGTTACCTTTAAGGCAGCCGCTGCTGTTTTATAAAATTGTAATTACCCTTATTATAGCTGCAAGCCTTTATTTATTTATACCACCGCCGTTAAATTTAACATAAGCCATACTGCTATATAGTGCGCAATTTCCTCCTTAAAGGCCCCTAATCCTATCCCTTAATAGCCCAGCTAGCTATAATTACTTATAAATAAAGAAGATAAGGCCTTAGTAATATATACTATATAGCTTTAAAAAGAAGGCTTCTTAATAACTAAGGTCTAGCTTATTACTACTACTAATAATCTCTAGCACTAGTAAGACCCTTAAATACTAGATCTCTTAAAAAATTAGTATAGTTAGTAGCTCCTAAACTATTTAAAGCTTTAAAAGTTATTTATTAAGGCTATTAATAAGGCCTAGAAGTTATTTAAAGTATTAGACCTTAAAAATCTTATAATTTTCTTTTAGAATTTAGAAAATCTTATTATTAAGTATAATATTAGCGCCTTAAAGTTTTAAAATAAAAATAAATACAGCACCTAGCTTAAATGCCTTTATAAGACTATCCTTATAATTATTATTTATATATCCTAGGCCTAGCAGCTATAAGTCCTTAATTTAAGTAACTGCAAGTCTTACACCCTCCTTAACTATATTAATACTGCTAGTAAGTCTATTTTATTATAAATAATTTTTAAGACATTCTTTACTAAGTCTTAGGCAGAGATTAAGGCTAATTATAATATTTATTTTACTTACTTAAAAATAGGCTTTTTAAATACTAAGATTATATTAAAATAGCTTTATTATTTTAATTAAATCTTATAGTAAAAGTTAGCTAAGGCCTAGAGGTCTAGCTGCTTTTTTAAAAAGTAGTTTAGCTATATAGTATAGCTTTAAGATTTTAAAAGACTATAAGCACTGCTATTTAGTATACTACTAGTCTAACAGCTTAAAGAAAAAAAGATATATTATATTCTTATTATTAATAGCTTTATAAGCTATATAAGCCTTAACTTTATTAAATATTATATTAAATTTAATATCCTTATTATTTAATTTTTATTATATTTAACTTATATCCTTTAGCTGCTTAATATTAGTATTTTCCAGCCGCTTAAAGCTGCTTATTAAAAAATACTTTAAAAGTTGCTTTTTAAAAAGAACCTAGCCTTTATAAGGCTAGACTTCCTAACTTCCTTTTAAGCTATATATAATAAAGGCTTTATAAAATATAATATTATATTTAAATTTAAAAAGACTAGTCTTTTTCCTTTTAATGCCTTACTAGCACTAGCTAAAGTCTTTACTTAATAGGTAAAGCATTAGTAAAGCATTAATTTAGTATTTTTATTATTACTGCTTAAAGATATATATTTTTATTAAGCTTTAGCTTTAATTTACTATACTTATAAGAAATACAGTAATCTTATAAGCTTACTAATTTATAAAGGTCTTTAGTAAGCTAGCCTTATAGTTATAAAAGCTACTATACTTAAAAAAAACATTAATAACTTTATAATTAATTAAAATTGCTATATTAAGTTACTATTATATTATAAAAAGCAAGGCAGCCTTATTTAACTAACTAGAGAATTCTATACTATTATTAGTCTTAAATAAATTTAATAATAGGATTAGTAAGTAAGAAAGGCTAATAAGGCTAAGATAATAAAAGCCTAGCTTTATAAAGGCTGCTAAATTATTAAGCTTAAGATTAAATAATTAAAAATATAATAGCAGGCTAATTATATAAAAAGGAAAGCAGCTAGGCTAAAAAAAATAATATTTAAGTCCTGGCTTAACTATATAAGGAAGAAGGATAAATTCCTTATCTTTAAAGTCTAAAATAAGGCATTTGCTAAGCTCTTAGGCTATAAAAATAATATTTTTTTTATAAATATAACTAAATAATAATTTTAATATATTAAGGAAGTCCTTTAATAAGCTTTAATAAAGCTATAGATCTTAAAAAAAATATTAAAGTGCTTTTAAGCAGCGCTAACTAATAGCTTTATTAATATTATAATAAGGCCTTTTAGTAATACTAATAATAAGAATCTAAAAGCTATATAAAAAGAAATATAAAAGGCTATATAAAAAGAGATATAAATTATAGTGCTAAATAAGGCTAGTAGTAATAAGGCTAGCAGTAATAAGGCTAGTAGTAACTATAACCTTCCTGCCCTTTTTAATAATAATAGTAATAATAATACCCTCCTTAACTTACTGCCCTTATTAACCTTAGCTAAGGCTAAAACACTATATAAGAAGATTATAAATATATTAGCAGACTTTAGGACTTTAAGGGTATTATAAAAATATTAAATATAACTATTTTAACTATAAAAAAAACGCTGTATTTATAATAAAAATTATAATTTTTATAAAATAGCTGTATTTCCTATATAAATTAGGTGGAATAATTTTTAGGGTGGAATAGGGTTTTTAGGCCTAACTGTAAGGCTAGGTCCGAACAGTTGGTCATGAAGGGTGGAACCAACGGGTAATTTAATACATGTTAAAACAAGCCCTATCTCAGCGCGCAGCAAGGGCTCCGTGGCAGGCCTGGTCTTGACCTTCCATGTCCGCTTTACCATTTCCCTTCTGCCGGCATCATCAGGCACTCATGGAATCCTCGGCTGGGCAGTGGTCCGAGGGAGCGGCTACAACAGCAAGCCCCGGCCCATGCTCTCAGCAGGCTCAAGCTTTCCGTTCCGGATCTTCCCCAGTGGAAGAAGAGACCCTTGTGCTGCCCGTTGCTGACTGACATCATCTGTGGCGATTGATGGAGCGAAACGCCTCTGGGAAGCGAACATTTAGATTTGCTTTTTTGCATCTCACTGCTGATATCAGGGGTATGGCAAATTGCTGCACGGGGCATGCGGCGACGTTCGGAACAGGCTGGCATTGGGCTGCCTGCTGCAATGAGCAGGACTCCCCGTAATCTTAACGTAGCATCTGCAAACTGTTGCCTGCATGCATGGGGGCCAGTGTTTGCCCCAGACAGGTCGTCTGTTGGGCATGAACTGGGCGGTATCTGAAGTGGTGATTATGTAAGCGCCCATGATTCTGTGATGCTATCCCGCTGAGTGCAGGGTAAGCGAGCAATTGCAGTGGCGGCTTGATGGGTTGACCAGAACAACTCATGTGGTGTGGGACATAGACTAGGTAGATCTCCAAAGCAGATCCCATCGTACAAGAGGTGGTTGCGAATGATGCTGCTTCATAGGTACTTGAGTCCTCAGTTCAGCGTGGTTATCTGCGTGTTGCCACGGACAGAGCACAGCACCTGGTGTTTTGTATCTCTTGACCTTGGTGAGACGCTCAATACCTTATGATGCCGTTTGAGTATGCAGAATACTACCGACGAACAAGCAACAAGAGACCACCTGGGCAGCAACGACAACCACCCCCACCGACGTCATTGAAGCCACCGACATCGAAGGTGGTGCTGCCCCCCCTCTTATCCCAACTGTCAAAAGATCCTGCCCTGGCAGACATCAGACATCCGTAGCGCAGGCCCAACGACAGTCTAGCGATGGTGCCAATTCCTATTCGCAGCTCGACATGTTCTTTGTGGCCCAGACCTGCCTTGCTCGCCTCCAGCTGGCACTCATGTAACCCCTGCTTACATCATGGCCGGCCACGTCCGTCAGGTCCTACTATTATGGAGGCGGCTACTAAGGCGTGCTGCGGGAAGGAGGAGCGTGACGTATCGATACCTGCCCCGGCGGACTGCTGAGCTGGGTGCTGTCACCACTCGTATTAATACGGGGGATGGCCTGGGCTTCCTCCCCGCATCATCATCACCACCATTCTCTACCGCAATCACATCACAACGACTACACTTTCTGTCAACATCCACAGCGTTCAAGATGCCGTCCTACATCGTGAGCAACCCGCAGCTGCCTCTGACTTTACCAGAACAACTACTGACGGACGATTCTCTCCTGCTGTACCGTACAGGTCACCCTCAAGGAAGATGCTTCCGATGCCGACCTCGCCGCGTAAGTCGAGCCCTTTTCTCAGCTCAGCTACAACGACGGGAAATACTGACGCAACGATACGCAGGGCCAAGAAGAAGGCCACCGATGCCGGCGCCAAGATTACCCAGGAGTACAGCCTGATCAAGGGCTTCGCGTGAGTGCCCCAACGATATCCTCCCGACCACCGTCGCTACGAGACACAAAACATTTCAATTCCATTTCCTCTACCGATCTTGTACCCGATGGCTGACGAGTTGGACGTGTTGCCAAATAGCGTTGAATACCCCGAGGGCACTGTCGTTGCGCTCGACCAGGACCCGAACGTGCAGTCTGTCGAGAAGGACCACGTTGTGACGACGCAGTAAACGAGGCGCTTCCTGATGATGCTCATGATGATGCCGGCAAGACCTACATTAGACGGGAAATAAACATGGGATTTTCTCTTTGCGCGCTGGAGTATGGCATTGCAACTCCATATATCCACTACCTCTACCTAGTGACTACAGTGTTGAATGCCAGCCGTGTGCCCTCCAGTTGCTGATGCCTTTTGGTCCCTGAACCTGGAGCTGCCCCGCGATGGATCTCGCGATTCCCCTCCTTTTAGCCTCGCTATCGGTGACGTGACGTATGTGCTCCGATAAGAGTGTGGGACCACGCTTGTTATCGCCATGTGACTCTCACCGGTTGTTGAACAATGGGAAGCCGTTGTTTGGGCCGAAGATGCGATGAAATGACGACGATATCAACAACCAATTAACTACGACTGTTCCAAAACACCAAGACTGGCGGCTGACTTCTTTACACGTTCGTGTCACGCCTCTTGCACGGGCAGCTTATCTGGCTGATGCCGGTGATTCGTCCAGCCTCTCGAGAGCTTTAACAGTGCCGCCACTGGCCTCTTCCGTCCGAACCGGCTCACCGCGGCGCCGCGCATCCGCTATCCCGCAACTGGCCAGGCTCTATAAAGCAGGACATACAAGGACCTACTCTACATACATAACTACTAAGGCTCCGGCTCTTGTCCATCCATCAATTGTCGTTTCTCTATCTGCTATTTGATTATAATCTGCTACGCTGTATCTTCTGCTAGTTGAGAGAGCTAACGATCGCCGAGCTGCTGACTGACGAACGGGTGACGCTCCTCCTTACCTGTCGATCAATCCACGACGATACAAACGGCAGAGACGTACAGAAGCAAGCATAGTCGTACGCTGCTCGTCTATTATAGACCGGACCAGGACGTGGTGTGCGTTTTTGGCGCGTATCCTCGGCTACATCTTTCTCTGACTGCCGGCCGGTTTGGCTTCTACTGAGGCGCTGTCTCTCGCTGGCCGTTCGACTGTCGAATCGTCAGCCTTCATTCGTCACTCTTTATCCCCTCCCCCCCTTCGAATACCGAGATGCTGCAATGACGGCCCTGCTCAGGTCCACGAGGCAGCTCCGGCCGTTTGCCATTCGAGCCCCGGCGTTTCTGCAGCCCCAGCGCCGGTGCTTCACCTCTGACAAGGCGCACGATGTTTCCGACTCCGACATCCAGTCTCTCGCCAGCCTGCCCCAGCATCCCTTGCGGCTGGCAGATCTTGTAAGGTAAGCAAGCGAGCAAGCAGCGGTTTCTGCCCTGTCTAAGATTGCTTCCATTGGCATTGGCATTGGCATTGGCATTGGTATGCTATGTATTGACAAAACTCCCTCCATCCAGACAAGGCAGACCGCCGCTTTCCGAGAGATCGCTCCTCGCATCAGCCAACTTCACCCTCTCCCTTATCCCGATCCGCCTCGCACGCCGCCTGCAGGCCCTTCAGAACCTCCCGTACATTGTCGTCTCCAACCCAAACATCTCCCAAATCTACAACAACTACCTACACTCCCTCTCCATACTTCTCCCCTACTGGCAGGCCGCCTCCAGAGGCCGGGCCATTACCACACTCGACGACGAGATCAAGTTCACCAATGTGCTCGCCGAGCTGGTCGCCACCCATACCGACACCATCCCCATCCTTGCCAAGGGCTTCCTCGAATGTCGGAAATACATCTCGCCCGCGGAGGTGACGCGCTTCCTGGACGAGCATCTGCGCGCCCGCATCGGCACCCGCCTCATTTCGGAGCAGCACATTGCCCTGCACTTTAGCAGCCAGCCGCACTTCGACCCCGGCGCCAGTCCCACGCCATGCCCCGAGCATCCCACATACATTGGCGTCATTGACACGGCATTGAAGCCTTCGTTGACGATTGAGTCCTGTGCGGGCTTTGTGGCGGACATTTGCGAGCTGCGGTACGGCATCCGGCCAAAACTAATCATCAATGGCGAGCCGGAGACGACGTTTGCCTTCTTGCCTATGCATCTAGAATACATCATCACAGAGCTCCTCAAGAATGCGTTCCGGGCGTCCATCGAGAGCAAGACGAGCGAACCGATTGTCGTTACAATCGCACCCGAGCCGCCGCTGAAGCACCAGCCCGGCGAATTGCCAGACATCAAGCCACCGGCAGAAGATCTCGGGCCCTTTAAGAGCGACGCCATCAAGCCCCTGGATGATAATGCTCCGGGCGTGACGATCCGCATCCGAGACCGCGGCGGCGGCATCCCGCCGGACGTCCTCCCCAACATCTGGTCCTACTCCTTCACCACCTTTTCCGAGGACGACGACATCCCCGACTCGGGCGGGCACGACGGGCTGAGTGCGATTGCCACCGCCAGCACGGGCGGCAGCTCCATTGCCGGCCTGGGATACGGTCTGCCGCTGAGCAGGGCTTATGCCGAGTACTTTGGCGGCGGCATCAATGTCCAGAGCCTGTATGGATGGGGAACGGACGTGTATCTTCGCCTAAAGGGTGTTGGAAACGTTGAAAAGAAGTGAGGCGAGGAAGAAGAATACATGAAGCGAGGGCCATTGGGGGGCGTGGCGAAAAGCGTACTATAACTTGCCTACATGTGTTTTTTTTTTTCCCTTCACTCCTTGAAGGCTGTCGGTTTTTGGCTACAGCGGGAGAAGAAGGCGATCGGTGAATAGGAAGGCTGCGTTGCCTCAAGTTTGGCTTACAGGCTTGATGGTGTATCTATAATTGTTTGATAGAAGCGGGCAAAACGTCTTATCGACATTGCCAATGATTTCCACAACTTGCAAATAACAGATAATTCATCATAACCAGTTTCACCATGGTAAAAAGACTGGATCATCACGGGAAAATATAAACCCTTTCGGTTAAAGAACAGATACATCGTATTAACAATCGCTACAAACACTTCCAAGCAGTAATCAGCGCATCCAATTCATAAAACCCAATCAATGACTATCTTTAATTCTTACTTCCTCTCTCCCTTCAAAGCAAAGACTTGGAACTTCTCCCGTCACATCCCATAACAACCCATAAGAAACGCCCATATTCTGCGCCAATGTAACAAGCATTGCTGATGCAGCTTCCACTTCTTTTCTTGATGTTTTCGTCCTTCTTTTTGCTCGTCGTATTGTAATGATATAGTCTCTTCCCTGGTCTCGTGAGAATCAAACTGTTTCCATACAGTCATGTTCGTTGTGTGGACCATCGTACGGAGGAGTCGACAACCTCTCCCCTCCCCAAATGAATGATTAGTACGGATGTAAATAATTAAGAGAAAAAGAAGATAGTAGTAAGCCAACAAGGCCCTTGATTGTCGGTCCGCTCGTTCATCGTCTCCATCAATACATGCCACATTGCACTACATGTTCTCCAACTCCCGGTCAATCTGCTTGTCCACAAACGTGCGACGCTCCCCAACCAGCTCCGTCTGCAGGCGCTGCTCGACGAGCGCGCGGACCTGCTTCTTCGTGACGGTGTCAAGGTCGACCTCTCGCAGCACGGCCTGGATGGCGTCGATGATGGCAGCGTCCGAGGCAACGCCACCGGCAGCTCCCATGAAGTCGAACGAAGCCGTGGACCGGGCTGCTTCATGGCCTCGGCCGAAGCTCATGGCGGAAGAGGAGCGGTTCATGGGGCCCAGCCCCGGCGAGGGAGTCAGAGTCAGGTTGGATGGGCCACGGGTATGCATCACACTCGTACGCTGGGGGAAGTCCGAGTATGGCGACTGGCTGCGATCCTGAATCGCAGTACCCATGGACATCATCGACTGTCGGTGCTGCATGTAAGACGGGTCGCCCATCTGGCTGGCGGCAAACGGCGCAGGGGAATGGGGCTGGGGCGGCATGTATGTGTTGCGGCCCTGCATGCCGGTGAGCACCGAGCCTTGGGGACCCGCGGAGTAGACACTCTTCATCTCGTCCATCTCGTACTGGTCAAAAGCCATGTCCTGCTTCTCATGGGCAAAGTAGTTGCCACGGCGGCCCGGCAGGCCGTTCATCAGGGCGTAGTCGTCCCAGCGCTGCAGGGGGATGGAAGCCGGGTTAAAGCCCTCATCGTCGACAGCTACCACCTGCTTGTTGCCCTTCTCTCCGATAACGACACGGGTGTTACCCCAGGAGAAGTTGTCCTGGTTCCAGAAGGAGTAGACGGGCAGGGCAAACGAGTAGATGGGATACGCAAGGATGTAGATGATCATCCATCCAATGTGCTGCCATTGTCTCTTGAGGATGAAGATTAACGCCTGAAGACCGTAGACGGCAGCCAGGATGACCAGGGACCAGAGAGGGAATGATGTCGGGTGCGTGGCGACGCTGTAGATCATGTATCCCAGGTACGCACATGTTGCGGGAAGAATGATGGTACCAAAGAGATCAATGAAGACGATGAATCGCATGCCAAAGAAGCAGAAGCCACACATGTCCTTAAGCCGGAGCAGCTCCACCAGGTTGTGAATGGTCGAGTTGATCCATCGTCGACGCTGGGACAGGAGGACGCTCCACGACTCTGGGGCCGCTGTCTTACACTGAGCGTGGGGAAGGAACTTGAACTGCATGTTCGGGAAGTGCTTCGTCATCAGAGTCGTCAGGTATCGATCCTCGCCCAGAGACAGGAGGTTCTTCTGGTGGAGTGTGTCCACGTCGCAGACGCTGTAGTCCCGAATGACCTGGTCAGAGATGATCAAAGGCTTGCCCTTGTCTGCTGTCCGCAGGCGATACATGGTGAAACTAGAGCGCATCGTCACGTTAGTCGATTGTACGGCATATTATTCAGGCGGAGGCTTCTTGGTTCACTTACCATCCAGGCAAACAGGTAACGCTGCCGAAGAGAGACTCGAAAGCCTTTGCCATGTGATGGGAGATGTAGTATTCGTAGACTTGGATCATTGTCCACCAAGATTTCTGGTCGTTCTCCAGGCTCGTCTCACCGCAGATGCCGGCAATCTTGGCATTGTGAGCGCATGCAGCCACCAGCCTGTTGAGGGAGTCTTCTTGGACACACGTGTCGGCGTCAACCATGAGGAGGTACTCGTACAGCTCGGGGTCGACACCGATGACGTTGTTGATCTGGTTGAACATTTCCAGCTCGAGGGGATTCATGGGGGACCGGTGGTGAACACGGTTGAGGAAGCTCATGAGCAGAATCTGAGAATCACGCTTGCCACGGTTGCCCGGCTTGGCCTTGGTCTGCTCCGACTCCTTTCCAACCTTGACCACGACCAGGTAAGGGACCACGTTGCCCTCGTATTCGTAGAGACCAGAGTAGACCTTGGCATAGTTGAGCTGGTCGCTGCCGGGGCCGACAGCCCTGAACGCCAGAGCGGGAGGGTCAACCTTGGGGTCGACACCCAGGATGTCCAGAACGATCTTGGGTGTAGGACGATCATTACCTCCGCCGACGACCATACCATCGCAGATGATGCATATGAGCTTCCTCTTATTGTCATATTGCAGAGCCGTCAGCGAGTCGAGGGCCTTTCGCAGCGAGTCTTCGCCTTCTGTGTAGGCGGGGACCTGGCAAATGACAAACTTGTCCTGGGGAGACGGCTTGCGCTTGGTGCTAAATTGCAAAGCCGAGACGAACTTGAGCGCGATGACGACACACAGGACGATGGTGAAGGAGAGGAGGATCCAGTTGTTGACCACGCAGCGAGGAGTGACGCGGAAGTCCGTGTAGCCCTTGAGGAAGACACGCTGGATGCAGAGCCAGCTGTTCTCGAGGTTGGCGTGCACGGTGCTGTTGTTGTTGGGGTCGTTGAGGAGGATGTCCAGCTGCTCCTTGATGTTCGTGCCGGGATTGTTGTTCCACAGGTCGGTGACGTCCTTGTTGAGGAACGTGTAGCGCTTGTCGTTGTTGTACACGTCCAGGGTGTGGAAATAGTTGGTCAAGTCGTAGATCTGGTTGCCGTACATGGCCCACTTCCTCTGCAACTCCTCGCCTTGCTTCTTGACGTCCTTTGTGGTGTAGACCAGTTGTCCCTTGTAGAATTCGTCCATGGCCGGCTGAAAGACGTTCCAGTACCAGTTCTCGTCGGCCAGCTTACTAGTAGGGTCGGGCTGGAAGTGACCAGAAGTGTGCACGGCCAGGCCGTATTCGACAGTATTGTTGGCAACCAGCTGGAACGTGTTAGTCAGGCCGAGCCCAGGGCAGGCCACATTCAAAGGAGGCGGGAAGTAGTCGTCCATGTCCATGCCAGCCAGGGGCAGCATGTTATCCGAGGTGGTCTTGACATTAGTGTCACTGTGTTGCTGCTTCCAGAACTTGGTAATGTCGTAGACGCTACCACGGACACTGACGTAGAAGTCGTTGGTGCCTTGATGAGTTGCGACTTGTTTCCGATCCCAGGCCTTATCCATGTTGGGGCACAGAACGCGTCCAAAACCGACGATCCAGAAGATGATGATGGCGTTGATGAGAGCAATGATCATGCACAGCGCCAGCTTTTCACGCCAGGCCATGCGAACGTCGGGGCGCTTCATGCCGCCGATCCATCTGAGCAAGGGGGACGGCACCCACCAGGTCATAGCCCAGGTGAACCAAACCCAAGCCCGACGGGCGTTGTCGACCTCCTTTGTCTCCAGCTGCTTGTTCTCAGCCATTTCGGCATCGACAAATGGGGCAGCCTCTGGGTTGTAGAAGCCATCGCCCCTATACAAGTCGCCCTTGTTACCCAGGCCATAGTCACCGCTGCGCATGGCGCTTGGAGCAATCGACGGCGCGGCCTGGGGGGTCTGGCCCTGGCCAAGCGTCAACTGGCTCATGTTGCCCTGGCTCATGCCGCGGTGGTGCAGCTGGTCACGGCTGGCGCTGGCCATGTTGTCCATGCCAGTCGGGGGGAAGTACCCGCTGCCGTTGCCCGCCGAATAGCCCGTGTCGAAGCCGTTGTTGAAGGGGTTGCTGTGGATGGGGTGGATTTCATCACCCGGCTTGACATCCAGCATGCTTTCCGCCTCCCACCAGGCACTGTCGCGGATCCAGATGCGTTCTTTGCCGATGAAGACTTCGCCATTGGTCCAGCCGCGCTCCAGAATCCACGTCTCGATGCCCTCCCTCCCATCTCTACAGCCGAGGGGTGCATAGCGCTGCACGAACTCGTCCACGTCAAAATCGGCGGTGAAGTCGAGGTTCCGATGCCTGCGGTTAGCCCACTCCGGGAGCCTCCACGAGCGCAGCTGCCGGGAGACAGTGCCGGCCGACCACGCGGACGTGATGGAAGGCAGCGCCGCGAGGCTGGCTGGTGAATCATCGGTCGGGTGCAGGCAGAGATGATACCAGAGCCGGTTGGAGCTGAGCACCGTGGGCAGACTAATGCGGCCAGCCCTGCCCAGGTTGATACCCTGGCCTTCCACCGGGAAGAGCAGGCTCTTGAGAAAGCTGCCGTCGTCAGCGCCGTACGCAGCCTTCTCGAGGACGACCTCGCGCTTCTCCAATGCATGCTGGCGTTCGCGGGTCTGAGGGCCTGGGACCCCCAAGTCTGCCGCCACTTCAGAGACAGCCTGCTGGACCTCTCTGAGGATCGAGGTGCCAGCCGGGGGGATTTCGAAGCCATCATTGATCATCTCGGCGTTGATGCCTTGAGTGTCGTCGAAGACGGAACGCATACAGAGCGCCCTGCCAAGCGCAGGGTCTGGCACCTCGAGGACGGTGATGGCAACAGTGTCGCCATTGTCCTCGTTCGAGTTGGGAGTCCTCACGCCATGGCCGTCCAGGGACTCATCGCCATCTTTGATGCGGACCAGCTGCGC